GTGTCATCGGCACAATGGATACACCGAGATGTGGGAGAGACACACAATCTGCGAGTCCTTTGTGCAGGAGCCACAATTGAAGGTTTCTTTAGATTGCTCCAAAATGTCGGCATTGGGTATTGACAAAACATGTGAGAGAGCATCTACATATATGCCGGGCAGATGAGATCTAAATCGCATTGGCAATTAAAGTATAAATATTTGCCAATTGTGTGCCAGGAGCAGCAGCAGCAGCAGCAGCAGCAGCAGCAGGTTTCCTTTTTTATGGCACTTCCAGCAAAAGTTTTGAGTGCAAGGTCAAAAGTGTTGAGGGTCCTCAGAAGCAAGCAAAAATTACTGGGCAAATATACGGGCTCAACATGGCATGCATTGTGGGCCGTTGATGCGGAGGAGGCCTCAACAAGCCGTTGGCAGTTGTCATCGGATTCTCTGTGCTCTCTGTGTCCTAGCCCTGCCCTAGTCCCGGACCTGGTCCTGGCAGTTGCCATGATAAGGGAAGACGCATTTGGGCGCCTCTTCAAATGCATGACACCAAAAGTGCGACATGTGTTACGCAGTGAACCTTCTAAGCTGGCATACCCTGTTCCATTTGGCAAGCAGGGTATACGTGTGCACAGCCCACTTAAGGTTTCTTCTACACGGCAAATCCTGTGCAGATTTAACCAATTGATTGTTATTCCTTTCAACATGTTTTATAGCATAACAGAGACAACAATAGTATAAGAGCGATAAAAAGAGAGAGAGAGAGAGAGATAGCCCTAGGGAGATAAACACAAAAATCGTAAAGCAATTCGCTTTGGTCTCTGGTGTGTCTGCTCTCTGTCAGCCGTTGCCTTTTATTTATTCGTTCAGTTTTCTTTTTCGTTTTGTTGATTTTTTTTGTTCCTTTTTTTTGTAACTATTCATCCATGATTTTCATGCATCCATTATTTCGAGCTTCCGCTCATTGGACAAGGACGAGCTGTCGTCTGGCGCTCGATTGTTTATCCTGCCCGGCGCTCGATATGGATATGGCTAGTTAAGCTTTAATAGTCGCACCGAAATTGATGTTGTCCATTAAATGCAGCAAATACACTTGAGTCGCGTGGGCGTGGACTAAAGGACACTCGCCTGGCGTTCTTAGGGTAAGAGCCAAGCACGAATCGCGGCATCAACAGTTGCGGATTGCGGCATGTCAATAACCTCGTTCGATAGGCCCACTTGGTGTCTTTTGACTCAAAGTCGACAGCCGCATTATTAATGCCCGACTTAGACGACTGCCAATGCGATTTTCCAGCACACTTCGCCATTTTAATTGCACCCTAATCACAGACTGCAGCAGAATGCAAAGGAGGCCAACTGCTGACAGGGCTCACACAATATTTCCAGCGAATTTCAGGCCGACAATTCTGTTCGCTGCTGTACAAGTACATATGTATATAGATAGACTTAATTATTTGCCTATGGCTTCGTTGCTCTCCATCTTTAGTTGTATGCAAACAAATTAAACGATCCTTCTCAATGGGGTCGTAAATTAAATAGGCCAGCTGTTACTTTAACAATAAACAATGCGAAATAAATATTGTGCGCTCAGAGACGTGAGAGGCGGAGCACATTTCACACCTGAAATATTTCATTTATAAATAATAAACAGCTCAGCGTGACACAAATACTAATTGCATTTTTAACTCGAATAATGTTAATTGATTTGAGTGCTCATACACATTTTCCTATAAATACATGCTCGAGTGTAGGCAATGCGAAATAAATATGTTTATACAGAGATTCGTTATGTGAATATCTGTTGCCAGATTGCGACTGCCTGAAATGCAGTTTATCTGAATTGTATTTACATAATTACGTATACGTATAATTACGCATACGTATACCATAATAACAGTAATTCGTAAAACATTGCAGTTTGTAAGAATTCGTCACACGTATTTCGAATTGTTGCTTATAAATTAAAAATTAATGATGTTATGCAGTCGGTCCTTAATAGTCCCTAATATTTATATTTAATTTAATATTTTTACACATATTTTGTACTACATTTAGTAGCAATTTAATCTAGTTTCACATATAAGTTGTTTTTTTGTGTTAATCGGAAAATGGCTTGTGACTTCACGGTTGCTTAGCTTAAGTTGGTCTGTAAAAAAAACAGAGATGGAAAACTGCTGTATGAAACCTGTCTAAATGTTTAGCCAAATTTTAGCTTGGATACGAAATCAGTCAGTTAATCATTCCGGGCAAACACTTCTTTATACAGAGATTAAATATGCTTTGGCATTTCGTCTCTTTAAATTGGTAACTCAAGCACAAAACTCGAAAGGAGGTCACATTAAGCCAAGCAGAAATATCAGATATTTCCACACATTTAAAAGATGACTGGATGCGCGTATGTGTAGCTTGTAAATATTTAAAAATATTCTCGAAAGGATAAATCTTATTCATGTCTATGCTTCCGTGCATCTTTATAAGCTAGTAAGCTGTGAATTTCTTTTGGATTTATTTGATGCCTTTAGTCGTGCCTTCCGCTTCTTGGAATTTCTTGGAATTTAGCCATAAAAGAGTTTGACAGATGTCATACTGTGGAAACTTAAAAAGTTCTCCACGAAGCTGTGACAATTCCTTCATTCTGTCATTCGCACAGTTTTCCTCGGGCAGGCAGCAAAAAACAAAAATGTTACTAAATTTTTGTTGGCTCACGCTAAATTTTCTTGGACTGAATGTTCGCCAAACTGTCATAAAGTGGAAATAGATAGGACAAGTGGACGCAGAGCGGGGTGGCGGGAGGCAGGAGGCAGGAGGCGGGCGGAGGAGTTCAGTCGAGTGCTGCCTTTGTGGCTGCTCACCAAGCCAGCAAAAACCATTCTCCATTCTCTCTCACTCACATTGCGCCTTAATTGCGGTCAGCCTGGTTACGTCTTTGTCTCCGGCCAAACGGCAAAGAGGAGAAATCTAAAAACTCGGCAAACAAATTTCACTGCATACTTTTAGGCGCTCGCAGTACTCGGGCAAATATTTTCCACGTGAATTCTATGCAGGTAGTTCTCCGTGTTCTGTTCAGGTATTTCCCTTTAGATATTTGTTTTACTTTATTTTGTTTCGGCTTGTTTGGTTTTGTTTTGTGGTCTCGTTTCGCTCTCTTGTTCTGCACGCTGTGGCGTGCGTTGTTCTGCTTTTTTATTTCGTTTGCTTTTTATTTGTTATACCCTGAACCCATTTTCAATGGGAAATCAGGGTATAATGGTTTTGTTGAAATGTATGTAACAGGGAGAAGGAGGCGTGGCAGACCCCACAAAGTATATATATTCTTGATCAGGGTGACGAGCTGAGTTGATTTGGCCCTGTCCGTCTGTCTGTCCGTCTGTCCGTCTGTCCGTCTGTCCGTCTGTCCGTCTGTCCGTATGTATGAACGCGTCGATTTCAGAAGATATAAGAGCTAGAGACTTCAAATTTTTTTTAAAATGTCCGTAATTACAGCGCGCATATCAAGTTTATCATTAAAAATCGATAACTCATCCCGATCTTTTTTATCGATAAAAAACCTTATCGAAACCCAGTTATAAAATTATATCTTCTACACCTTTATTGCTAGAGTCTCCAAATTTTTAATGTATGCTTATATGCAATTTATACAATTTCGGTTTTTGTTAAAATTTACCCCCCACCTCTAAATTCACCCCCTCACCCTCACTTTTGTAAAAAGCGTATTTCAAATACTAGAGACTTGTGCTTTGGCAAGTACATGCATATTCATGTTATAATCATAATCTAAAAGTTTCATGAAGATCGTACGTCCATAAAAAAAAGTTATTAAACAATTAAGTTCTCATAGTAAGCGCACACTGCAGCCCATGCGTGTTTATGCGTGGTTGCTTGTATGTGTATGTGTGTGTGTGTATGCGTTTGTGTCTGTATGCGTGTGTGTGTGTATGTGTGTCTATATGCGTGTGTGTGTATGTTTACCTGTGTGTGCGTACGTGCGTGTGTGTGTGTGTGTGTGCGTGTTTCTTGTGTAAGCTGAAAGTCGCGAAAAAGTATTGAAATATCTATTGCTCCAAGGGTTCAGGGGATCTCGTAGTCGAGCAGTCTCGACTAGAGCTTTCTTACTTGTTTTTCTCATGTTTTTTTGGTTTTATTGTTATGTTTCCCCTGTTGTTTCCAGCTTCAGTTTTCCGCCTCAGCTTGTTTGCATTTGCAACTAGCAGCATATTGATTCGTTGCCACTGCGACGCCGACACCGACGTCGACGTCGACTGCAACATCAACGCATTCTGTCCATTTGTCGGCCTCAGTTCATATGCTCGTCCGATTTGCTTATGTTTTTTGCTAGCTACCGCTTTGTGTGTTCTCTCTTTCCCTTTGCTGTTCATGTAATTCCAATGCACAGTGATTCAAACTTGCGAAAAAAGAAGCATTAAAAAATGTACATATAACTTGTGAGTTTATGTATTCAGAATATAAAATCTGTATTGCAACATTTTATTTCCAATTACAGTTCTTGAAATACTTCTATTTAAACATTCTGCAATTCATGTTTCAGAGCAATCCTTGCAGCAGCTGCTGTGCCACTATGCGCTGCGACATACGGACGACGGGTTCTGATTTTTCATTAAAATCGCTTTTCATATGCATTGATGGTTTTTTGCTTTTAATAACTGCACACGAACACGATTGCGTGCTACCGCATTGCCACATTTTGAATTTTAAACAGCTTCGATTTTCGTTGTTGTTGCATTGGCAGTTTTATCTGAATTTCAATGCGATGCGTCGAAAATCGTTTATAATTGGCATAGTGTGGCAAAGCGATACGGCGCACGTTGCGTATACGTAATTTGCAGCATTTGCAGCTCATTATCTGAGACAGAAGCTGTATGAATCTACAATTAAGTATTAAATTTCAAACCGAAATGCGCATAAATCATAGACTACACAGGCACACACATATACACACACTCACTCGCACACTCACACATACATATGTACGTATTACCTATAAATTAGCATATGCTCAGATGTTGCCCGGTCGCTGGGGCAACCACTTAATTGAACTTAAAGCATCTGCTTCTGATGCTAATGACGACGGCAATAATTATCATGATGACGATGACGATGGTCATGATGATGATGGGGACGCTTCTGTTGGTGCAACTGCCGCAACATTTAAGTGATTTATGAGGGTCAAACATACACAAACACACACACACACAGTCGAAGTCAAACACACTGTCTGGCAGATATGTATATGTAAAAGAACTCTCGCTCTGTGCTTTTTTAAGTTCATGCTTTGTTTGCCCATGTATCAGATACATTCGTGTGTATGCGCGATGCACGTGAACGATTTTTCAAGAATGTCAACAGCTGACAACCAACGTTCGATAAAGTCCGTTGAGCACAGACGTATTCAATGATGAATTGAAACAGTACGAATAGAAGAATTGCACATAGACAAACTATTGCTCAACATAAGGAAATTACTTATACTTATACTTATACTTATACTTATACTTATACTTATACTTATACTTATACTTATACTTATACTTATACTTATACTTATACTTATACTTATACTTATACTTATACTTATACTTATACTTATACTTATACTTATACTTATACTTATACTTATACTTATACTTATACTTATACTTATACTTATACTTATACTTATACTTATACTTATACTTATACTTATACTTATACTTATACTTATACTTATACTTATACTAATACTTATACTTATACTTATACTTATACTTATACTTATACTTATACTTATACTTATACTTATACTTATACTTATACTTATACTTATACTTATACTTATACTTATACTTATACTTATACTTATACTTATACTTATACTTTATACTTATACTTATACTTATACTTATACTTATACTTATACTTATACTATACTTATACTTATACTTATACTTATACTTATACTTATACTTATACTTTATACTTATACTTATACTTATACTTATACTTATACTTATACTTATACTTATACTTATACTTATACTTATACTTATACTTATACTTATACTTATACTTATACTTATACTTATACTTATACTTATACTTATACTTATAATTATAATTATACTTATAATTATACTTATACTTATAATTATACTTATACTTATACTTATACTTATACTTATACTTATACTTATACTTATACTTATACTTATACTTATACTTATACTTATACTTATACTTATACTTATACTTATACTTATACTTATACTTATACTTATACTTATACTTATACTTATACTTATACTTATACTTATACTTATACTTATACTTATACTTATACTTATACTTATACTTATACTTATACTTATACTTATACTTATACTTATACTTATACTTATACTTATACTTATACTTACACTTATAAATAGTTTATTAAACACAAGTAAATATATTTGTCGAAGAGCATCGCACTATGGGGAAAAATCCAAATTATCGGGTATTAATTAATAACTTAAAAACTAAGCCAGATTTTTTGATCCGGTTTTTGTATTATTAATATGTATACCATCAGAAATATATTTTAGAAAAATGGGCGTGTCACCGCCCACCCAAAAAAATTTATTAAAATTTTGTATTAAAAATTTTTTTTTTTTTTTTTTTTAAGAATTTTGCTTGTTCATACTTTAAAATAATAATTTTAATTGAAAACAATCGAACTTTCATAAAATCGAAATTAGTTTTCTTCAGTTTCGAGTTCCAAATCAGCCAGAAATATTGATCCGCTAAAAAAATTCGGGTTCTTCAACTGATTTAATTGTGCCTTCAACTTTACATAATACAATACGTACAACTTCATTAGACAGCGACCTTTATGCTTTCAAACTCTTTTCTAAAGATTTGCCGAAGAAATAATCTGATCAGATGTATCCATTGTTAAAAACCATCAGCGAAATTATGGATTCTGCTCTCATGCTCTCATGCATGATGAAATTAGTCTGATTTATAGACCTGGTTGGGCAAATCAGACGCTTCCTTACCAAAAAAGCCTACAGGATGAACAGTACTTTCCATAATCTGCCTCAAATGAACAATTATTTTTATAAACATTTGCTGTCATAGGCAGTCATTCATAGTTGTCAGCTAGTTTTTGTTCCTGCTGCATTTCTTCCATTTGTAATTTATATTTTGGCAAAAAAAGCGGCTTTTGCTTTTTTAATATCATTTATAAGTTGAATCAATATTAGTCTTATTTAGTTTCAAAATCACAATTACTATTTCTTGGTTAGAGTTGCCTTTTTCATTGAGCCAAATATCACACAGGTCAGCTCATAGTCACCTGCTAAAAATTGATTTGCGCCGGTTGTGCGCAAAAGTGCACATTGAGACAAAGGCACTAAGATCCCAATTGATTACTCTATAACATGCAATTGGAATTACACTGGTGCGCCCTGGTGGCTGTTTTATATGTCTTTGCAAAGTTTAATTTTATTTACAAGAAATGAAATTTGACAACATTTGCTAATTATACAATAAATGATTAAAATAAGTTCAAACATCAATTGGTTTTTAAGCCAACGCATAGTAGAAGCCCTAAAAATTCATATCCTTTTTAAATTTCTCAAAAATAATGTCTGGTCATTGAATAACGATGATTTGAAAATCGGCTAACACAAATTGTAAGCTGAAGGCAAATGCTTTTCGAAGATAACAGCTGACTTTAACAGCTGTTAGGCTTAACAGTGGACTGTTATTCAACATTTTGGGTACAGTACCTTAAAGTTTGGAGTTTTATTAAGATGTTAACATAAAAAAATTATAAATTTTCATACTTCGCAAAAATGACTAAATACCCGAAAAACGGCAAAATTCCCCATAGTGCATCGATGTGCGATCGATAGCAACTTTGATTAGTTGCATAGTCAGTCCAGTCAAGTGGGGTAAAGAGTTTGCAGCCTTAACTATTGTCAGCGGCAAATGAAAGACCGCAGACCGCAGACCGCAACGTTTGTGCGCTGTAAATGAAAATGGAAACATGGAAAAATTGAAGGCAACACATTTAATTAAGCCAACTGGCACGACAGACCTCTGACAGGTTTCCACTCGACCCGCACTGCTGGATGTCGGTGGGAATCATTCGACGGACGATGCGGTTCACGAAGATCAACGCTCGCTCCAACTGCCGTCCTTCTGAGTCACCCAGCTGCAACACGGTCATCCTGCCTCCTCCTGCCCCCTCTTCTGCTTTCCTATGAGAGACACATATTGTTCGCATTTATAATATCTTATAGAAAATGAGCTTTGCCCTCCCCTTTACATCATGTAAATCATGTATTACAAGAGTAGAAGGAGGAGAATTCAATCCTTTGATTATATGTGCAGCTGCCGTTAAACGTTGTCGGTAGGGTACGTTATAGTCGAGCGACCCCTTTGTGCTTTGTTTCTCTCTATTTCTTCTGCATTCCTGCACGTCATGTGCGCCGTTAATTCCCCCCAGACTATTGGCTAAGCTCGAGGTAGGTGTTCGGGTTACATTAGTGCCTGAGGTCGGAGAGTATTTGAATTGACTTTAGTAAATGGTTTGTCGTTTGCATGTTTTCTCTGAATTGATCTAATAGAATGCAACTATACCATTGATGGCTTGTGTAAAAGCATTTATCTCTCTTCACAAAATTGACAAAGGCCTGGCTAGAAATTGTCCGGCCAGCTGGAGGGGGATTCTGATTGATTTTCTTCGTATTGCTATTGTTCTGATCATAATACATAAAACGCTTTAGAAAGTTTAATTATAAGTGACATATAAACAAAAAGATTAAATCATAAAACTTTCGCTTGGCTTATAAAATCTGATTATATTGAGATTCCTAAGGGTCAACTAAATCAGAGTCTTTTTTCAAGAGTCGTAAATGGCATCAAATGCCACACGAGCTAAGATTGATTTCTTAATAGTTTGCCAAATAGGAAGCTATGTGCTGCATATTAAAATGCGCAGAAAATGTTGACGCAGCGGCATAAGCAAGAAGAAGCAGCAGCACAAGTTGCCGAAGAGTGGCTGTGGACCCTCAAGAGATGCCAGAACGAAATTGAATATAAAAAGCACTCGGCGCTGGCGATGAGGAAAATATATTTCCGTTAACGACAATCGGGCGAAATGCAAAAACTGTCGCGGAAGTTGTCAAAACATTCGGGACGTAGTGATACGAGGCCAAATGCCAGATAGTAGCAGCCGCTGCCTGTTCGTCCAAACTGACAGACAGACACACACACACACATACACACTGAGATGGCAAAATGAAAAAGCTATAGACTAAAGAGGATGAGAGTGCGAGATAGAGAGAGAGAGAGCTTTGCTCGACCTTCCATGGAGACTATCCTTCAGGCGCACCTTGCAAGGTCTTAAAGTATGTAGTTTTCCTTAGCCTGGCTGCCAAGCGATTGGCTTGGCATATTCATCCGCTTCTTCGCCTTCTTCTTCTCTGAGCCAAGTATAAATTAACTTTTATGCGCTTATCGGACTGGGAATTCATAATCTCAACCACTGGCCGGCGCGAGGCTTGCCTTATTTATTGTTTAACTGCGCACACACTGATAATAAATTTCGCTTTTATTGTCGTTGTTGCTGTTGTTGTCGGTTTGATGTTGCAGGCGTGAAAAATTGTTGGCGTGCATTTTACATTCATTCCAACATTTTTTCCTTTTTTCATTCACTTTTTTTTTTTGAGCCGCCATTAAATATGCAGCCCGGGCATTTTGCACACTCGTCTATCGGTCGCCTTTTTTTTTTAGGTAGGCCTTCCTTTTTCAAGGATTTTGTGACAACCTTTTAATGAAATTAATCTGGCAGCCAAAGCCGGCGGACCGCGCGCAACTGCTGCCAACAATTTTGCATATAAATTGCAATTTAAGATGACCGTTTATCAATGCTCATAACTTTCGCGCAGCCCCTGACTCGGGCTATCTCCGGCTGCAAGTCGTAGATTAATTTATTAAAGCCAGGCTAAAATATATGCTGTATATTGGGCTTAAGTGCGCCACTAACGGTCAATTTAAGCCGTTGAGCGACAACTCAGCACAGTTTCCCATAATCAATATCAACATTGCCTGTGGCTCAAGTGCAGACTTAGTCAGTGGCTTCAAATGGCATTTATTAGTT